TAATAGCACTACCATCTTCATACATATATTTAAAGAGATCGCACAAAAATGCACTTCGAAAGTATTATAGTTTTTATGTAAATTTGTAGTGTCCTAACACATTTTCTTTTTCTACTGAGTCGTAGAATTATTATTATATTTATGTATGGTAGTTGTGTATTGAGTTACGAACACCTCAAGAAATCAATTTATATACATTATTGTAGGATTCATAACATTTAGTTATACAGAGATCTTTAGATGATTTATGTTTTTAATTCAACCATTTGACATTATTGGTCAAAATTTTATATTTCCAAAATGAGTCTTATATTGAATTTGTTTTTATACTTAAATAACTTGCTTGCTCTTTTTAAACCTATAAGTTAATTTTCCAAATATATTAAACATTATTACACATTCTCTACAAAATATACAAGTTTTCGTTAGATTAATTTTTGTTCTTATTTATCTGATATCTACTGCTTTTAAAGTTTGTGAAGTTCAAGTATCTTTTTGTATGTCAAAATATTTCAATATTATTTTGTAAGTCAAAGTCATCTCAATATTTTATCTTGTTTTAAAGCAAGTTACTTATTTCTTCATTTTAAATGATTAAATTTTCCATTTTCGTACACTAAAAAACCATTTCTGTCACTCCCATTAAATATCAAGCCAATTATTGCAATATAATATTGTGTATGCAGATAATACTCTTAATAGTATTATATTCAACACTTATTCGGATATAAAAATACTGTAACTAACATACTACCTAAAACTAATGACTAAAATTAAGGAAATTATTATCTTCTAAGTTGAAATATATTCTAAGTTACAAAATTGTATACACATTTAAACATATACGTAAATAAATGGCTATATGCTTAATTTATTATTTATTTACCTAATTTCAACATACAAGTTATGGATAAAATATCGATAAATTTATTTTTTAACGTTTCGCTTTATTTAGACTCTTTTTAATTTTGTGATATATTATAAATGCATATCGTAAGACAATTGTTAGTTTGATCTGTAAAGAGTTTTACAAAACAGAAGTACATAATAACTTCTCATCAATTAATATACATTATTAGTTGTTTTACAAATGTATATTGTATTGTAAAGCCGAAGGACTAAATAAAGAGTTGAAACGTTTGAAAATTATAGTTATAATCATTTCAACTACAAGAAAATAAACTACCAGACTGCATTTGTCATTATTTATTAAAGAATGAGAGATTATGATGCTGAGTTAGTGAGGTTATATTACAGATGTTGAATTACTATTATGTGAGGTTACGTTTGTTAAATCGGCACCACCTAAGTAGAACGCCATAAAAACAGTCAATGAAAGTACACATATGTATCACGTTATGGTTGTTCATCGTGCACGTAATTGTAATTTTAGAAGAAAAGAATTACATTAAACAGTCCAACCAATACCAATTCTTCAAAAACATCATGAATAAAAATTGAACATCAAACAGAACTTTAACGTAAACATAATCTGCAATACTGTTCATACAGTATTATTGCAATATTGTTAATACCAGATGTCCATACAAATCTTCCGTTATCGATCCACATTTCACTCCTCTCTGTATATTGCATTCTCCCATAACAAAGCACTCGATAATCAGGCAATCAACCCCTCCATACAGGGGGCTGATTATCTCCGCGAACTATCGCTAATTCACAAGAATCAACAGCAACCAAGAGGATCGTCTCGCAAGGAGCACATACTCGCGTTCTCGTGGTTGATGACCGTGAGAGGGTGATAAAAGGGGAGAACTAGGCTCACCTCACCCTGTGTGGAGTCTCCTTAACGTTAGGAAGCTCTGCCACTAATTGAATCTCCTCTCTTACTCGCGTCTGGAGCCTCAGCAACCGCTGGGAACCAGAGCACCCGTCCTGCATTAAACGCCCCCGACACCCTGGGCACCCTCATCCCCATCGAGCGGTCTGGTCTGCCCCTGGCTGCCTTTCTCTTTCGATATGTACCTCTATCTCTCATCTTTCTACCCTTGTCCCTCTCCTTCGCCTTTCTTTGAATATGTTCCGCCTCTCCTTCGTTGCGCCTTTCTCGTTTTCCTCTTATTTTCCTTTTGCTTCTCTTTGTATCCGACTACGTCTCTTCTTATTTACCTACCCTGTTTTCTTCCTCTTTTCTGCGTGGTTTTATGTACTTTGCAACAAATTTTATTGCCTCTTTTTTACATTTCTTCGGTTCCTTTCTTTCGTGTTTCTGCATTTGTTCATTAATTGCATTTGTGAATCTTTTTTTCTTTTCATACTTTTATTTGATTTTATTCTTTGTATCTTTGTTTTTTAACATTTCTGTGTTTATTCATTAACTGCTTCTGTATTTTTAAACATTTTTCTTTGAGGTACTTTTGTTCGATTTTATTCTTTATAACTTTTATGGTACTCGCGGTTTATAGTTATTCTTCTTTTTCAAGATATTTCGATGCGTTTTTATTTTTTATATCTTTTGTATTGCTTGTAGTTTATAATTATTTTTTGGAGGTATTTTTATTCGATTTTATCCCTTGTATTTTCTGTACCTTTTGATTTACAATTCTTTTCCCTTCTTGTAGCTATTTATATTCCATTTCATTCTTTATATCTTTTGTTCTGTTTCGGGTTTACAATTCTTGTTTCTTTTCTTTTTTGAGGAATTTTTATTCTTTGCATCTTTTGTATTGTTTTTATAATTCTTCTTTCTTTTTTCTTAAAACTGTTTTTATTCTGTAATGTTCTTTGTATATTTTGTTCTGCTTTTGTTTCTAATTCAATTTGCGATCTACAATTTTTTCGCTGTCTCCTCAAGGGCCATATAGTGAGACTCGTTATTTATATCTCGTGTGCTCTTCAAATTAAGATCAGTTATTACACGTCTTCGAGTTCATCAATCGACAACACGGAAAACTTCGATAGAAGTATCTCGAATGCGAAGACTCAATAACGATTTCGCAGTATCATGCCACGTTTCGTTTTTCCATGATCTCTCACTTAATCGTTACTTCTCCTATCCAATCCGATATTTCCCCCCGTTACGTACAAAATTCACGACACAAATGTGTACGCTCTTCGATGAACATCGTCGACCATTTCCATTTAATTAATTAATCGCTCGAAAACGCGTAATCTCCTTTCAGTTGCAGCATTACATTATGTCGTCAATGAAAGATTGCATGGCAATTAGCGAAGTGTGTTCATTGTAAATTTGACCGGTTTTCTTGTATGACATTCCGTGTACATTGTTTCGTTTTGTCGTTCGATGGAGTTTCGTCGTGGCCAAGATAATCTATGTCGATGATTTTGATAGATTAAGAGGCTTTGCAATTTCTCTGTTGCTCCCAAGCAGCATTCGAGCATGTATCGATTCCGAGCTATATTTTGCGCACCACAGCAAATCCGATTTCATATCGATAAGTGCGCGACTTTATATAATCCTGGTTTGATATTTCAACTGAATATCCTGTCACGGTACTACCTGATTCTTGTTTAACATTTGCTGCGAAGTAAAATTACTCGCAGGTAAATGAAGTTTAAATAATTTCTCGTGGAAATTGGTCGAACATTTCACTATTTTGTGTTTTAATACTTAAACAATAATACTTTTTGGAAGCATCAGTTTTATGTTTTTAAAAGAGTATTCTTTTCAAACATGTAAGGTTGAAAATTGTAAAAGTATGTTGTTCCTAAATTTCTGATAAACGATATTGGATAACTTTAAGTGTAAGAATTATATAAAAAAATGTTAGCAGTGGTTCGAAGTATTGTTAAAGTATAAATTCAGAGCAAATCATTGAAGTGAAAATTCGTTAGAAGCGTAAAGTTGTTCATTTTGAAGTTGTTTAGAAGAAACCTTTGGTAGATCGACTGTGAAACCAGTGGCAAATAGAGTGATCAGTGTTTCATTAGGCCTTGCGTTTATTTAGGAGTCTGACCAGTCACTGTCTAAAGTCACTTTCTTTGCGGTCCCATGAAACCCATAGACATGTACAGATATCTTCATGTTTACGATGAGATCACACTATCCAAGTTAGATGCAAATTCCATATTTTTTTGTAATATATTCTTTTCATGTAATATCTTAATAATATATATTTCCATGTAATAAAATTCAGTATTAAACTGTTAAAAAATATTAGAAAAGATTTCACATTTCCTACTTAATTTTTAGCTATTTTAAACTTGATGATTTCTTAACTATATTAATATTATTAGATACTTTTTAGTATTAATAAAACGTCGATTGTTTTAATATGCGATACAGCAGGTTATAATTTTTTTCCCATATTTTTCTTTAAATTTCTTACTTGCCTTCTTGCAGTATAATATAGTACTATTTTATTATTTTAAATTATTTCATCATTTAAATTTCTAGTCACCGACAAGAATTATTCTAATTCTCTTTATATTTAATATTAACACATTTGCTACCAATGTCATTGATATTTAGCTCCAATCACTCTATTTAATTTTTTCAACTTTTCCATATAAGATTATAATTTTTACTCCATATACTTTGAAACATTTCGAACTTAAGATTTGTCATACAGTCGAAAAATTAGTATAATATCATAAACCATGGTATACAATTCAAAGTTATATTATTTTATAAAATAAAATTTATAAAATATTGTAAAATATTTTCTAAAATAGAATAGTATATTGTAAAATATTTTCTAAAACAGTATATCACGCATTATATTATATTGCAAATGAACCAGTATTTATAATACTTTTGTAATATTTATAAAACAGTTCAGAACTATTTCCTTACACAAAAAAATAGAGTTATACAACTAATTCAAACAGCACATGTTATAATTAATTTAAATAATATTTAATATCATTTTGAAAGAACCCGAGTTGGTCCCTAGCTTCAAGTCCCCTTTTCAGACAAGTTTTTTCCTGGTTACAATTCTAGCTATGATATCTTATCTCTAAAAGATCCCTGATCTTACCACGCTAACGTAAATATTTGTTCAAGTTTCATCACTTACCGTCCCTGTTCATATTGGCTTCGAAACACTTAGCTAGACGGCATGCACGGCACTGGTTTCTGTGCGTTTTGTCGATGGGGCAGCGCCCTTTCATAGAACCCTCGGCCTTGCAAATGTACTCTCGATTGTGGTGGATACTCCTCTTGAAGAATCCTGAACAACCTGTTAATCAGACAAGTTCGAATTACGCGATTAGAAGTCGATTAATTGCGACTTTAATCGAAATGAACTAATCTTTCGTATCCGACGGATGGATAACGGCAAAACAAATGAATCGATACTTTATTATATTTATGCTTTCTGTGTGATGGTTTTCGAAGGAATGATAGCTTGAACTAGTTAGAAGATTTTGTATTAATTGGAAGAACGTTTGAATTAGTAGATCATTTATTGACGAATGAATTAATTGAACAATGAAAACGAAGTGTAATCAACGAATCTGTTGTTTATATCAAGGACAGATATGTCTATTCGAAAGAGTTACTCCGGGAAAGATTAAAGTACAGAAGAGCTTAATAATTACCGTCGCAACTGTAGATGCCGTAGTGTTTTCCAGAGCTACGGTCACCGCATACGTTACACGGTATATCAAGTAATCTGTCCCCTACAACAGAAATTGACTTGATGATTAGTCAATCGAGCAATGAAAATGAAAAGTCTTATGAATTATTTTTTCTTAGATAGCAAAGTATTTTAATGTAATTTTGTGTTTGAAGAAATTCTAATCTTCTAATTTTATTCTTAGTTAAATTACGAGTTTCAGAATAACTTTAAAAATTGAATCCCTGCAAGCATCAAAAATACATATTTTTTTCCGAATAAAACTCAGTGAGAGTATTTTTTTATATTTAAAAATATTATAATATAAATTGTTATAATGCGTTATAATATTGCGCTTTATTATACCGTAAAATGAAATGAAAAAATGCTAAATTGAAGAAAAAACGAGCGTCACATAAGTTTCTACTAAATTAATTTGTTACTTTCAAAGAAATTGTAAAAGTTGCTTTTTCTATAATTAAAACAATCCGAAATTTCTCGAAGTGAGAAATTACAATAACAAAACAGATTCGTTGATTACGTTTGTTGTTAAAGGAAATTGACCTCTGCGTGTCTGACCCCATACGGATGTTACTACTTAATTCTCATACGGAGAAACTTCGTACGTTTTTTACTTATATTATTATAGATTCATTGTGACAATTTTAACATGTAAATTGCCACAGTGAGAAGAGACATTTTTAGTATGACTATTAAATTATTATTTACTAACACATTGATTGTCACAGTATAAATAGGCATATTTAGTGCGACGTTATTATGATATAGATAATTATGAGACATAAAAATTAACTTTTTAATTTTATATCATGACCTACAAAATTAGAATTATGTACATAAAATTAAGAAATCAAAATTTTTTACATAGTTTATGTCACTTGCAAAACATTTTTCAATCGAAAGAATTTTAGAATGGTATAAAATTGACTCTTTGGAAATATTACATACCTACTATAAATTTACTTACTATCAACACCTATTATAAGTTTACATGAAAACTCTATCACTAAACTTCTTCTTTGTTACTCGATTGTTACAGTTTGTTAATAGTACATAGTACTAAAAATATGTATAATATTTAATATATAATGTATAATGTATAATATGTAAAATATATGAATCTACCAATTTTTTAATGAAAATAAAATACAGTGCAAAATTCAATTTAAATTGACTGTACTGTGAGTACACTTCAATTTTTTAAATTAATAGTATGATCTTACAATTAGTATCAATAAGTGTTCTACTGTTCTGATTTCTTAATTGTTCGACGAAATTAAATTTGTAATATTGATACAATCAATTTGTTAAAAATATTTATTGTAAAATGTAAATATTCAGCTTAGCACCTTACATTATTGATATGCCTGTACTATACAAAGATCCTTCTCTTTGTTAATCATTAATTATTCAATTATATAAAATGTGAAGCATTCGCAAGCGACTTATGGCAATCAACGTGTTAATAAATGCGGAACAAAATAATAATAAGACAATCAAAAAGATAAGGTGTTATAGTGTGATACCACTCTTCTCTTTCTAGAAAATAGAAAGCTCTCGTTTACAAAATAAAAAGTACCATAGAAGTGCTTTTCAACAGCAACAGAATGAAAGCAACAGCTTTAACAGAAGACCGAAAAATACCAAATAAAAACTAAAATGGACCATTTGTTATAAAATATCGTATAACAAGATTTGTTAAAAATCAAGTTTATAATTTATACAACAAACAAAGGATTGATCACGTTATTCTAAGAGGAAAGTATCAGTGATACGGAAGAGCTTAAAATTGTAAAAAGCTGACGGAAAGAGGAGTACGTTTAAGAAAACGAAGCGGACCGCAAGGAGAGCTCGAGCGTTAATCTGTTCTCTCCCTTTTCGAAGGAACCCTAATCGTCCTAATGATCCGCGGCAAGAAAAACACGGCCATGCCTAAGCCAACCAAAGCTTCCATTTCTGGCCTGGGGAACCAACCACCTTCTTCTCACACCAAAAACCTACCAACCTAACCCGATCAGACGAGTTACTTCAACCCCAACAGATTACCTTCTTCGACGTTTACACTGTCACGATATACACATCGTTGTCTTATATCGTACAGGTTGTTTAGATGTAAATGGTTTCGGTATTCAAGTATATTAAATCCTTCACATTCTTCGAATTAGCTGATATGTAGGAAATAAAGAACAGTTCTTTGTGGTGAGATTAAAGTGATTTTTACTGAAATTATGATACTTCTTTTATATGAGGATATTTAATACGTACATTGGATGTAAGACACATTTACTTCTGTATTTAGTAGAAGATGTAAATACAAATATAAGCAACTCAAGTAATATTATTGTATAGTATAATGATATTATTGTATGTGATAAATAAAAATGGAAAGAGGTTAGGTCCATCTTACAGATGTTCTATGACGATCAACGTCAATGTTATCTGTTTTGTTTTATCTGTGATTAATATTCAAAGTATGTACTTATATATATGTGTTTCTATTTAAGAGGTAAATATAATTTACAGCTACGTGGCTTTTCATTTTCATGAAATATTATAAATATTATACGTTATAAATATAACAAATAATATGAATTTAGTAATTACTACAATTTACTAACAATTTTATTTGTTCACCAATGAAAACTGTATTTCAAAAAAATATCCTTCAACAAAAATAATTTTGTTGTTTCAAAATGTTCTTTAAAAATTAACAGTAAGTGTAATCACAATCGACATAATTAAATGTAATTATTGCGCAAATTAACATTCAAGTTCGCTTCATTAAGGTGAAGAGAATCTCTTGAACCAAAATAATAATTGTTGTAAAATATTGTTTCTTTCGAATGAACAGTGAATAGAACCACGTTAAAGATAATTAAATGTACCATAATTATCACTCTAAACAATGTAAAACTTGTTTCCTTAACCAAAAACTCAATCATACATGAATAGTTTCTAATCCCATGCGCACTGGTTCCCCAGGTTCATGATATCATAATCAAATCACCAAAAACGAAAATCCATTTCAAATCCAGCCCACACCGAACGATCGAGTCGCACATAAAAATAATCAACTTCTAAACATACAAAACCGAAATCCTCTAAAAACAAACCCCATGGAGCCATTTAAACGCGTACGCAGGGGGAGGCAAGCGGTCAACAAGTCAAAGTTTGAACTGATATGTCCAGCAGATTGCAAGTTCCAAAAACCATAAAGAAACTACTAAAATTTTAAATAAACAAATTAAAAATAAAAAAGGAGGAAGGAAAGATACTCGTGTCACTATAGCCCATATCGAGAGGGGGTTGCAAATCATTACTATGGTAGCACTCGAAAAAAACGAGACGCATGATTTATAATACTAAACTAACATTCTTTGCAAGTTTTAAAAATCATAAAGAGGGTAAAAGTTGATGAAGTAAAATTATGAAAAGAATGAACGATGGAGCACAACAAAATGAACGAAGAAAAGCAAAAGACACGTTTTACTAAACTAACATTCTTCACAAACTTCAAGAAACATGAAGAGGGTAAAATATTATGAAACAAGATCGTAAAAGGAATTAATCAGAAAAAGAGAAAGAATGAAAAGAGGAAAAGAGGAGCTATACGTCTTGTCACTGTGTACTGATTACCCGGATTGCAAGGGGGTTGCAAGTCACTACGATGAAAAATAAAATTCACGTTTTACTAAACTAACATTCTTCACAAGCTCCAAAAACCATGAAAAGAGTAAAAATAATGAAGTAAAATCATGAAGTGAGTGAATCAAGAAGAAGAAGAAGAAAAGAGGGAACTGATACACGCGTGTCACTGTACTGATCATCCCCTGACACAAGGGGGTTACAAGTCACTCGAATGTACCACTGACAAGCAAAGCAAAATACACGATTATTAAATGAATATCCTTCGCAAACTCAAAAAACCATGAAGAAATTATGCAGTAAAATCATGAAAAGAGTGAACCAAAAAGAAGAAGAAAATGAAAAGAGGGAAAGATACACGCGTGTCACTGTGTACTGATCACCCCATGTCGAAAGGGGGTTGCAAATCACTCCTATGTACCACTGGGAAGAAAAGCAAGAGGCACGCCTTATCGAACTGACCCATCCTTCGCGACTGACCAAAGTCGACCATCCCCAGGGCAACCGGAGTGGAGGTCGTTCGGACAGGACGCCGAGAGAGTCGCGCGAAGTCTCGAAGCGTTCTCCCTGACGAGGTGGCTTCGAGCCTCGGCGTACCTACTCATCCTCGTCGGGAAGGGCGTACCCGCTGATCGCGTTCGTGTTGGTGGCAATGTCAGTGTTGGCAATGTGCGTCTGCCGCCGGTATACGCACATATAGGGGCTGCTGCCCGATTGGCTGTCGGAGTTACCTATCTCCCCTGACCGTAGCCATACTAGCTAGAATCACGGGTCGTTCTTCAACACGCTCGACGTGCTACCAAGAGAGGGTGGGTTGGCTGACGGGCTGTGTGGGCGACGCCTAGCACACGTACAGAAGCTTCTAAACGGCCGCGAGTCGGCGTAGCTATGACGTCGAGCTGTAACTAGCGACAGATTTGATCAACTCGTGTTTCGAGATACTGTTAGGAGATGAGCAAGATATAGCATAATATTTCTATATGGCTTACTGAGTCGCTTCGATTGGAGCAACTTTTTGTATGCCAGCAATTCGGTGGAGTGGCGTTTAGAAAGATTTAGGACTTTTTAAGTTAGGGATTTTTAAAGTGACGGACCTTCAAATTTTTATTTTGGACATTTTTATACTTTTAAAATTGAAACGTATCAAGTTATCAAATTGCTGAATTTGGAAGTTTTCGATTTTCAGTATTTCTAAATCTTAATATTCATAGTATCGAATATCCTCACACCTTAATATCTTTAGATCCTAATGGCCATAGGTTACTAGATTCCTATATTCTCATATTTCTAGGTCTCTATGTCTCTGGAACTACATATCCCTACGTTCTCATATTTCAAGATTTCGATAAAGCTATTGTTTTCAAAATTCCACATTTCTTAATGTTTGTAGATCCAGATTTTCATCTTTTTAGATTTCCGTATTTCCTGATGCTATATTCTTAGACTCCGATATACCTAGATTTCCATACTTTGATATTACCATATTCCTTGACCCCAGATCTCAGGATATTCCTAATACACCTATACAATAACTCTAAATTCCTTTATTTCCAAATTCTATAGACACTCAAGCTCATATGCCCCTTACTGTGAATATAAACCATATAATAATTAAACTAAGTAATATTGACTGCAAGAAAAAGTATATACAAATTAAATAATATTAAACAACGTACAGGTTTGGTAAAGCTGCAGAATCTGCTTCACTCCAGACAAAAATTCTAACACCAATATAATGTTAAATCATTCTCATCATATACATGTATATAAAATTGAAGAACAAATTAAAGATAATAAATTTCCGCGATGGCCAAATTCCTTTCCTTATATTGTCTGATCCCAATACCTTCCACTTTCTCGCTTAATGCATGATTCAGATCTTTAACCACCTTTTCGTACATTAAACAAGAGCCAAATACTTGTTCTTGTTCTACACGTCAATCATATCCTTCTTACTGTAGACAATCCATAGATTAGCGCGTGGAAGGTCAACCTAGAATAAAAGAAGTCATTCGGTCGTATGGTCTATCCCTATTTTGAAAAGTCCCAATGTAACGTTCTAACGTTCAGGATGACTTCTCGAAACGTTTACCAAATGTTCTTATCCTTTGGACCAAGAACGTACGAGTTTTGAGCCAATAGTTCTAAAAATATATGAGTCTAGGTGTCCATTTTTCTATTCTAACTAATTGGTACCACCGCCCTTTCACAGTCGAATCAGACACCTGGGTCAGCCTTCTATGCGCCAACTCGTAGGTTAATCTCCAGTACATTGCAATCAGTCACCAACTCTTGGGTTGCAGCTTGTTCAAGTTTCCTGATCACGGGCGGGAAGAGGTTCGCAGCCATCGCTAGGTATGGCTTTAGTCAGGCTATTGCACGATGTATACCACTTCTTCGATGTGGCTGGTACGTTGGCCTAAAAGAGTTGGGTAACATAGATGAAGAGGGGTCAGAGGAAGGTGACAGCAGGATAGGTGGGGAATTCCAACGGGCGACTAGACGGCCCGGGGACTTGCTGGCCGAGTGGCTGACGTGACTATAGTGGGGTAGTGCTAGTTAGCCACGGGGGCGGCTCCGAAGGCCACGTTGTCAGATGAACGTTACCACTGTGTCATTGGTCGACTCCACCCCTGAGACGACGCAGGGGTGCAGATGTATGTGGCAAGGGGTGATGGGCGTTTCCAGCACGCCCATTCGTCGACGGTGAACAGCCAGGATCTCGACAACCAACCGCTGTGTCGAGATTTCGCTGATGTCGTAGGTGGCTGCTAGGGCTGTGATGCTATTTGCCGATGAAATGTTACGCTGTTTCTTCCCGGAGGTAGGGTGAAAATCGACATGATGGAGCGAGCTGCAGTTCGCAAGAAAGAAGGGATGGTAAATGTCAATGAGAAGATACAGGCGAATGACATTCTCTGGGTTCTGTGAGCTTTAAGACGAACATTGCTTCGATTTTGAGAAACACGTAAAGACATACACTTCCTCAGTTTGCTTCATTGATCGTTGCACAGACATTTTATAGGTATTTTATACGCAGGTTTTTTTATTAATGGATAGTATAACTTTTCAAGAAGCAACTTTGAATGTTTATCTGATAATTATGATAAAAGTGGTAGCGATTAACACCGAAGGGAATATTTATTCTATTTCACTTCCTTCTGGTTTTTTGCAACATTTTGCTATATTTTTTTATATTTTATAAACTCTTCAAGTTATTGATGATAATTATGATAAATATGGAAGCATATTTGTTGGTAACGAAAATATATGTGTAAATAATAATTTACCACAAATGGCAGTGTAGGAAATTTTAATTTGTTGTGAAATAACTATAACTTATCTTCCTAATGAAAATGTTGCCAATAGAAGTACAGTAAGAAAAATTTAGACTGGTATTTTCAATACTATTCTAATAATACAGTCGAAACTTTAATTGATTCAAATAATTATTTTAGAGCAAGTAATTATTTCAATTGTTATTTAGCCTTTAGTATCTGTTAAGTTATTATGAGATGCGTAAAAAATCTTTGCTATAAAAATATTTAAGTATTAATGAATGATAGTTAAAAACATTTACAGTTTTATTATCATGGTTAACTTGTTAATTAAATGTTATCATGGTCATCATGGCTAACTTCTTGAAACATAGATAGTGCAAACAGTAACTTCTGTTGCTCACTTAAATTTGGTTTCTATGAGCAAAACGGGCGAAATTTTGGAAATCTGTCATGCTCCGATATCGACCTAATTTTACAAATAAGCTCTTTTTTGCAAAATAAGATATCTGTGGGAATGCTTTTCAGCGACTCGAAAGAAAATTTTTCTCCATTCTTATGTCATTCCCTACATTATCGATGAGATACAGCATAGTGTGCGAATTGTTCTGAAAACATAATACTTTGGGCCACGAGATATTTTGCAAACAGCATAAAATCAATATTAATAAATATATAGCATATTAATCAATAAAATCAATATTAATTAAATTTTTACAAAAATGAAACAAATGGCGCCATCTCTCCGGCGAACAGGGTGAACTACACACTTTTGAAACTGCAGTTTAATTAGTTCTCATCTTCTACCACTAGATGGCGCCTCATAATACGTCAAACTTTTCAATTTTACTTCGTTGGCCAAGAAGAATTCCATTTGTAAGAGGCAAACGAAAAATAAAGAGATAGAACTATAAAATAATGCTAGGATTTACTAATTTTCAATAAAAATTTTCAATTAATAATTTTTAATTATTGACGAAATCACAATAATGAATAAATAATTATTTATAACAACAGTCCTCACAACTAACTGAAACGGTTACTATATTTGCGCTCGCTCCAAAAAGAAACGCATCGATATTCAATCGATGTACATAAAATAATTTTAAGAAAAAAAATACGCCGACTTCGAAATGCACTAAAAAGTATAAAATAATTTCTATTTCCTAATGAAGTAATTTCTATTTCATTCAATCATACAATTACGTAACAGATATGAATGAAACCTATTTACTCGTTAGGTATTATATTAAATACATTTCAACCTTTTCGAAGGCGGCGCAAAATTAAATAACATATTCAAAATAATCTTTTAATTTTGCGCCGCCTCCGAAAAGGTTGAAATGTATTTAATATAATACCTAACGAGTAAATAGGTTTCATTCATATCTGTTACGTAATTGTATGATTGAATGAAATAGAAATTACTTCATTAGGAAATAGAAATTATTTTATACTTTTTAGTGCATTTCGAAGTCGGCGTATTTTTTTTCT